CAGATTCAGACTAACACGGCTACCCCTCTGATACTGTGAATTAAGTAAACTAAATTAAGGCCACTTTAATTCTGAATGAGAGTGTCCACAGAAGGGTATAATGCAGTTTTACTAATCCACTTCAAATTTACACTTTCAGTTAATTTGGATTAAGTTTCCTGACTGTCCATGTAGACAAATCTTTACTTAGTCAAACTGCCACTGACTTTAAAAGGGATGAAATAAAAATGGAGTAAGAACCTCAGGATTTCGTCTTTAGGTTGTACACTCCTCAGAGCTGAGACTTCATCTTTTATCTGTCAAGCACCATGCACATTTGCCCATTATGGGCCAAATTCACTATTGGTGCAGAGGTCTGGCAAAGCCTCGTGCACTGCTGAAACCTCACATAGGAGTTGTATGGGTGACAGATGAGCGAAGCTGCTACATCAGGGTACCGATGAACCACCTCAAAATACTAAACTGATCTCTGCACAGAAATTTATGGGGCTGGTATGGAAGGTCAGGAGCTGCAGATACTAACTAAGCCTGCAAGCTGGAATAGTAGCCTAGCGCCCTGACACCGATTTGGGCGGTTGTGGAAATGACATTCATAATTACTGAACATGGTGCACTCCATCTACACAGAGCGCCAGACACTGGGGCTTTATGCCAGTGGAGTGTTTCCCCCTTTCTAAGTTATTCCCATGCAGTCTAGGATATGTAGCTGAATGCTTTTTGTAAATAAAATAAGACATATGTAGTACGATTGTTAAGCCTGATCCTGCAAGACTACTCATGTGAATAGTTCCACTGAGGTCACATGAATAAGTGTTTGGGTTTAATGTTATTTAGAAATTCACATGCTACTAGCATATAGTTTTATTGAAAAAAAAAGAAACAACAACAACAAAAGGGAAAAAACAGCTGACTCTTCTCATTTTGCTGTTATTTCTAAAGCCCTCCATTACCCTTGTTGTGAAAAACATTCAACTGACTTTCTAAAATTAAGCAAGATTGTTTTAATTGCTTGCCTTTCTAATATAAACACTGATTTATCCTCCTCCCTTTTCAAAAGAGAAGCATGGTCACATCCTCCCTGGTTTCTAGAAGAACTTGTCCCATGACCTCTACCAAAAGATAGCCATTGATAAACAAGGTCTGAATCTTGCAAACCCCCACCAAACCCAACTGGAATATTGTTTGGGGTGCACTCGTTGGACTGGGTCCTAAATAGGTATCAAGAATTAAAGACACTCTTCCATCTTCCTCCCCTCTCCCACTAAAAGTAGTACTGTAGGCTGCTTTCTTCCCAAAATTAAAACAAATAAAAAATAAAAATCAACCATTATTCATAGCAGGAGTTTGAAGCAGGGACTGTTTAGTTACACAAAGACCCTTTCCAATAGATCACTGTATGCAGACTGAAAATGGATTATGGCCCGACTCATTCTAAATAAATATTTACTTCTTAACTGTCTGGCAATGGCTCTCTCCATTCCCCTCACAGACAAGAGTGCCAAGAGCAGAAACTTGCAAACGTTTTTGCTTTCATGCATTTAAAGGGCTCATATAAAACAATCTTCTTAGTATCTGCAGTAACTAGGTATTGGTCCTTTAAGAGACTCTCAATGCTCATCATCAGGTCTCAATGACCAAGAAGCTGAGATACTGGCTTGAAGTTGAAAATTATACTGGGACAAATCTTGCCCTCTTGTTCTCCCCCACTGTATGAATGGCAGGAAGGGGAGCCAAGGAGGAGGAGCCCATTGACATGTTTCTCGTGGGTCTGTCCTGTGCTGAGTCTATCCTCCACAGTCTGGAGGAAACTACCAGAACTGCAGAGGCAGCTGATCTCCCCCTCTTGCACATTAGGAAGCATACAAATCTTCCATGTAGCCTCCACAATTTGGCCCATCAGTCTTCATCTGATAGTGATTTATTCATTTTAAATCTTTCTAATTTGAGCAGACTCATGAGAGACACAGTTCATTATTCATTTTCCATGAGGTTCCTAAAGGAGTTGCAGTTCTACATTCTTACTCCAGCACAGATCACACCACAAACTAAATAATGCAGTGAACGCCAACTAAAATAGCAAACATCACTGAGCAGTCAGACTGCATTTTGTACCAAAAGGGTTTTGACTCAGTTGGCCGTGAACCAGTAGGACTCATACTGGCCTCAATATAAGTTTTGTCTCAGTACTGACTATATGATCCCCCCCCCCACACACACACACACACACACTACTTTACTTACAC